GATGACATTTTAGTGAAGTGATGACATTTTAGTAAAGTGATGACATTCTAGTAAAGTGAGGACAGATTGTCAATTAGTCTCTACACAAGAATAGAAGTAAAAACGTGTCAGTGAGTGAGTGAGTGAGTGAGTGACTTTCTCACCTGTAGATGAACACAGTCACGGTAACAATGATTACAAAGATGAAGCAGATCACTATGGCAACCATCTGATGCATTGTAACTGTACCTGGAGAGGATGGACGGACATCAGAAAGGTTTTTAGTTTACAGTATGACCCTCAAAAAATATAGTCATAAACAAATCCAACATACTTTTCTAGAAAATAATATTCCCACAATCCAAAATACTGGTCTTATATTCATAGTGACATGAATTAGAAAAAAGGAGGACGAGTGAAAGTCTCACATCCAGAGCAAAGAAGCTGATCTGAAGTCAGCTGATCCTTCTCTTTCTCTTTCCAGCTTGTCTGGTGGTTTTGTCTTTTATTATCTTTGAGCTCTTCTCACCAACATCACTGATCTCAGTAGAACCAGTGATGTTCTGGTTTCAGAGTTCTCCTCTCCTGGACCCTGAACCTCTCATGACAGTTGGTGATGTTCCCTGTCAGGATGCTTTCTGTTGCTCCTCTGGAAAAGTTAACAAGAACTTGTCACAGGACTCTAAACTTCTTAAGTTTCCTAAAGAAATACAGCTGTTCATGAGCTTCATTCACCAGGATGAAGACGAGTGATTCGATAATCGATTGAAATGAGGTTTCGTTTTGAACATTCAATGACAAAAGGATACTTGTATTTGTCCAAAGGAGACGACTCAGTGACCGGCTGAGACTTCATGAGCACAGCTGGAGAAACAATCTTCCAAACATTGTACTTCCCCACGAGTCATGTAGACCACGAACGCGTCGTTGACAGAGAAAATAGTTTGTTGACTGCAGAAGATTTAGAGCCCCCCCCCTGTTTGGTGATTTCAGTCGTGGTTGTTTTGCTCCACTTCAAAGTCCACATGGCTGTTTACGGAGAAGACGTGGACTTCATGGTGCATTCAGGGGAACTTCGTGAACTCTGAGAACCTCAAGCTGTTGTAAAGTTCCTCCTGCCATCTTCTTTTTGTTGTTCAACAGTTTTTTTCCAGTTTACTGGTAAAATAATTTGTTATTAAATATTTAATGAATCATTTAAATTTGACCGTATATTGTGGTTCATAGAAAAAGAAGAATTTAAGCATATTTTTGTCATAAAACAACGATCTGTTGATCTGAACCCCCAGTGAGGAAGGGGTCCAGTTGTTTGTTCCTCCTCCTCAGCTCCATTGATGTAGACAGTGAGTGTGTGTGTGTGTGTGTGTTCGTACGTGCGAGGCAGGCTGGTTGGTCGTTCTTGAAGCCACACTCTGGGACATCTGGCGGTGGAGAGCCATCTGGCCACTGGAAGCTCCGCCCACCCTGCATGATCAGCTGTTTCATGCTGCTGTTGTACACACACACCACCTGCGCACACACACACACACACACAAGTAACATATAAGCTCTAGTTTATCAGGTGTGTGATGACATCATGGCAATGACATCATGATTGAGGTGTTTTACCTGGAACTCTCCAGACTCGATGTTGATCGTGTCCCAAACAGCAAAGTCCATCTGTCTGTCCCCGAACTCGTCCATCTCCACCGGACCCATCACTCCTACAGACACACAACAGACACACAACATGATCACACATGTTCATCACGTTAACATGACCCATCACTACCACAGACACACAACACCTTCATACATCAGACCATCACTACTACAGACACACAACACCTTCATACATCAGACCATCACTACTACAGACACACAACACTTTCATACATCAGACCATCA